AAAAGGCGATTCAAGCGTGCTGAGTGTGGTGAAGAAGTATCAAGTCCTATGGAAGGGGGCAGTGTTTAGTTTCTGGTTTTTAGGCTTCCCTGCAAAGCGATGTTCCAGCTGGTATCTATCTGAAGGATACGTAGGAGTTAGCAGGGCCCCAGGAGGGGGCGTGCATTCCAGGATTGGGGACAACATGTGTGAAAGTCCCGCAGCTGAGAAAGAGGGAGAATGGTAGAAGATGAGACTAAAAGGTAGGCAAGGACCAGATCACACAGGGCCTTAGAGACTACATCAGTGAGTCTGGCTTTTATTCCAAGTCTTGGAAGGGAAATGACACAATCGAACATTTATCTTTAGAAGGTCACTCTGGCTCCAAGTGTGAAAAATGACATGAAGTGGAGCAAGAACAGAAATGTCAGAAGACAAGGTAGGAGGCTGTCGCAGCAGTCCAGGTGAGCCCACGGTGGTCTGGTGTGGGGGGTGGGCAGGAAGCAAGTCCATGGACTCCAGAGATATTCAGGAGAACTATCAGGACTTGCTGAGGATTGGCTGTGGGATGTGGGGGTGAGGGAGAGGGAGGTGTCCAGGAGAGCTTCCAGTTTTCCAGCTTGAGCAAGTGGGTGGATGATGGTGCCAGAGATGAGCTGGGGACCCTAGAGGCAGAGCAGGTGCAGGCAGATGGAGCTGGGGGCCTGGATTTGGACCTAAGGCTGATTGTGAGACCTGTAAGCGTGGTCTTGGAAGCAGTTAGACCTGCAGTTCTTGAACCCAGAAGAGATTATTAAAATCAAGAGAGTAAATGAGATTATCTGTGGGATATGGAGAGAGCAATACAGTGAGAAGTGGGTTTAGGGCAGCTCTAGGAGCCATAGTAGCAGCAAGACCTGGGGGCAGAGTGACCAGGGGCTCTGAGCTTAGAAAATCAGAACTATGAAATCCAAAGGTTACCTTCTTTCAGCCCTAGGAGGCACCTGGCTTTGGCTCCTCTTCTCCTGGCAAGCATCACACCCTCAGAACAGAGGCTTCCTGGCTATGTGAGCCCTCCCTTCATGACTGCAACTTCTTCCCCCTGGGCAAACTCCAAGTTATCCTTCAGAATCAGCTCTGATGGCCCCCCTGCTAGGTGAAGACTTCCCTGATCCAGGCAGGTGCTCTGCAGTTGGACAACTTGGTTTTGAATCCCAGCTCTGTCACTTGATATCTTTGTGACTTTGGCCAAATAACCTCAGTTTTCTCATCTATACAATGGAGATAATAATAATACCTACCTTGAAGGGCTGTTTGAAGATGAGCATGTAAAGTGCTTCGCAGAGAACTAGCACACAGTAAGCACTAAATAAACGTTACTATTATTAACATCCACCCACCTTGGGACAGTTAGTCATCCCCTCGCTTCAAATGGCCTCCACTCAGAAACTATTTGCAAGTCTGTGTCTTTCCCGGCCTCTTCCTACCCTTACCCAATTTGTGGAGCTATATAATATGCATGGTCCAGTGCTAAATAAGAATGTGGGACCCATTGTTCAAAATTATCAAGAATTTCAAGACGGTAACAGCAGAACATTAAACCAAGTGTGGGGTCCTAAATGCAGGGCCCTGTGACCATAGATTCTTGAAACCAGCCCTGCTCCCAGCCACAACCAGCCCAGAGCCTGGCCCAGAATAGGTGTCAGCCCTCACATGACAGAGTAAAAATGCCAACTGGCATGGAGATAGGACTTTATGATTTCCATCTAGAATTTCACTTTATCCTTCCCATAGAGAGATAACACCAACCCCTTTTATGGTTGAGGACAAAGAAATTTAGAGACAGGGTGTATCTTGCTAAGAGTCACCCAGCTCGTGAATGGCAGAGGTGGGATGTGAACACAGGCCAGCCTGGTGCCAAAGCCCTGCCCCTTGCGCTCTGGCTCCCCAGGGAGGTTGGGAGAACCTGGCCTCAGGGGCTGAACTTCGTCAACAAGGCTGAGATGAGGCTCAGCCCAGAGACAGGGAGCCGAAGGGATTGGGACTGGTCCCTTCCCTCCTGGGGTGAGCCACATAAACAACTGGCTCCCTGGGCGTCAAGGCTACTCCACAGGGAAGGGGGAAAAAGGTCACTCTCCAGAATGTTCTGCCTGAGGGCCACAGACCCCAGCCCACACTCTCTGGAAATCAGACTCTGCCTCCTGTGCTTAAAACCCTTCAGGGGCTGCCATTGGTCTCAGGATAAATTACCAAGTCTTGTCCAGGCATCTTGAGCTCAAGGTGTGAAGAGCCCAAACTTGCAAAGGTAAGGGCACCATCAGTTAGGATGTGCCCTCCTCCTGCAAGCCCTGGGAGATGGGGGAGGGGCCATTCATCCAGTTACCACATTTGGTGGAGCAGTATGGGTTATATATTCCTATTTTCCAGACTAAGGCTTAGGAGTTGAGGTCACCTGGCTGAAGTGGTAACACGTTGGAAGTAGAGGACATAGGATTTAAACCCTGGTCTATCTGATGCCCAAGTTCCCTGTCTCTTCTCTGCCCTGAACCACACAATCCCTGTGACTCACCACTCCCAGCCAGCTCACCTTCAACCAGCAAGCAGTTATTTCTAACCCACACCCTCAATACACACACTTCAGCAGGCAAAGCTCCTCTGTCAGGTCAGCAATATACAAGTGTAGGAGACAGCCCCACTGTCAGCAAGAGGCCAGTGTAGAAGTCACCCCTCCCCTGCATCAACAAAACACCAGTGTGGGAAAAACACGCCCCATGTCAGCCAAACACTAATGGGGGAGACTCCCCTATTGTCAGCAAAATGCCAGTACAGGAGACGCACCCTGCACCCCAAGTCAGCAGAATGCTAGCAGGAGTGACACTGCCACAGTCAGCAAAAGGCCAGTGTGAGAGGCACTTCCCTACACCCCCCTCTCCCCAGACTGTGACATGGGCTGGGGGTACAGAAAGAGAGAACTCTCCAAGATGGTGCTCCCAGGGTGGGAGGAGGGACCGGGGCAGCTCTTGCCTGGGGGAGAAGGCTGCGGCTGGGGAGTGGGGCAGACTCAGGTGAGAGTTCTCACATGGCACTAATGAAATCAACCACCAGCCTGCCCCCTCCCTCCCCAGGGACCCTCCAGGCTCCAGCTGATGCAATGCCCAGGAAGGATAATTGTTTTCTTCTCTCCTTAAAGGGCCAGCTGCTATTGCAGCTGCAGACATCATCCAGACCCCTGACAGACCCCACAGAGTTCAACACCTGGGTGAGGAGAGGGGGAGCCCAGAGAGTAGCAGCTTCAGGCCTGGGCTCTGCAGAATAAAGTCCAATTAACGTCCAGAGACCAGAAGTGTTGGTGAGCAAGGAGGGAGGGAGAATAGTTAAGACAGTGACGTAGACCACATGCCCAGCGGGAAGAGACTAGTCCCTGTTGGGTCCTCAGCACCTGGCCCCTGCATGCCTGCCCCAGCACGTACTTGGCACAGGGGTCGCTTGTGAGGTTAGCAGATATCTACTGAGCTCTCCTGAGTGCCAGGCACTGTGCTAAGAAGCTCAAATCCACCATTTCATTTGCTCCACCCAGAAGACCTAGCAGGAAGGTGTTTTACTGAAAGAGGCTCAGAGAGGGGAAGTAATTTCCTCAAAATCACACAGCCAGAAAGTGGCAGAGGCTGGGTTTGAAGTCAAGTTTAACTGACTTTGAGCTTTATACCCTGCAAAGGGTTGGGTAAGTGTAGAACCCTAGGGGTGGAAGTCCCTAAGCCAGGCAGCCAAGCACAGAGGGCAGGGAAGGGGTCTGTGGGCCCTAAACAAACTCTGAAGGGTATAACGCTTGGTTTAAGCACAGGTTGCATGGGCCCATTTCCAGTGGGTCCCTGCCCAGTCCCCTTCCCCAACCAGAGGACAGGCTGCCCACACACCCCCAGGGACAGTTGGCAGCTGCCTGATTACAGACTAATTGGTGGCTGGCAGCAACTATGGGGATAGCTCATTAACCCCTTGGTGACCAGGCCCAACCCAGAAAGACCCTCCTCTCACTACTTCAGGCATCACATCCAAGGATCCCAAACTTAAGAAGTCAGTGTGAATTGAAGGACAGAACCAAAGGGGCTGCAATCTTCCTCCTCACACCCTGACAACACCCCTGGGGCTATGGCTGGACACTACCATTCACCCACATTCTCAAGCCCTAAAGGGCCACATTCAAACGGCCCCCAGGTGGCAGTGCCAGACAGTGCCTCTTGTTCTCTGGCCTTGGGTATGGCATTGCCTACACCAATCCAGAACCACAGGAGCTTTGAGCGTTTCCTGAGTTTCCAGGCCCAGAACACTGGAAACCCACGCTTCAGGACTGTGTCCTGAGAAAGTGACGGGGACATGAGGTCCAGGTAGCCAGGAAGCCAGCCAGGGAAGATATCCTCCCTGAAAATGAGAGGGTGCCCAAGTTGCCCACCAAAGGTCTTGCCAAGCCTCCCTGAACGCCGGGTTCCCCGTGCTATTGACCAACTGCCTTTCCCAGCTTCCCGGAAGCCCCCTCTGCCCACCCTAGGGCTGGAGTGAGCACCACTCCTTTTCTTTCATGGGTTGGGAGGGTCCTCTGGGCACCACAATGGTGTCACGTTGGGAGGAAAAAGTGGCTGCTTCTCAAGCAGGGCACAGGCAGGAGGGAGAAAGGCAGGCTGCCTTCCAGCTTCCTTTCCAGGAGGGATTTTAAGCACTTTCCAAAAATGCCATGCCAGGCAATGCTGTTGAAGACCAGGACTCCTGGTGCTCTGAGCATCAGCAAAGAACTCAAGACTCTGGAGCCCTTTATCCCCCTTTCCGGGCTTCCCCAAACACCTCACGTCCCCTCTCATACCTTAGACCCGGCCCCGAGCCATCACACACGCTGTGTTCATCCCCGGGCCCCTCCCCCTCCCCCCGACCCTGCACATTCACATCCGTACGTTGCGCTCCTCGGCCCAAGTCCCCCTCTCCCCCATGGTCCCCAGACCTTGGCGTCCCCCTCCCCACGTCCACTCCCAGGCGAACAAGGCCTACTGACTTACCCGGAGGTGGGGCCGGGGTCCAGACAGGCAGGGGGGTTCCGCAGGCCGAGGCGGCTCCGCAAGGCGGGGCAGGTGTTC